TTGGAGAAGGAAACAAACAGAAGAGTGACAAAATATAAGCAAAACCTTCTGCATAGATCTTTTGAAGAAAAAAGAACATGTTACAGTAGTAAAAACCTGGAATAGAGACAATTTGTGGGTTTTCTGAAAGGTGGTTTGTGTTAAATTAATTTTAGTGTCGAGTTCGGATTCATAAACATACGTTACCTTGATATGTTTCTTATGCGAATAGAATGTGAGTTATTCAGGATAAACCCAATGTACAGAGAGAAAGGGGTTTTCCGTAGATTCTGACATATCTTTTAATTTAACGAAAAACTGAGTCGTGTTAGGCCAATTCTGATGACGGATTTGGATTCAGCGAGTCAAAATACATGAGAACTTGTTACTTTTGTATGTTTCTTGTATAAATAGTAACAAGGTATAGTATTACGCCCTGCGGACTCCGCGTTTTCTAAATTCTTTTATAAATAGAACGAATTGATTTTATGTTGCTTGCTATAGTTCATATGTTATATTCAACAAACATATTCCGCGATCCTTCGAGCACGATAACGCCACATACCAATTTCTCTTTTTTATCTCCCCCTAGACTAAAGTCCTCTAGTTGTTTGTCAGAAAGATCAGCTGAGTCATTTCCCGGACTGACCAATCGATATCTGATTTTGTTAATCCTCAAGAACTCACAGCTTCTCCACGTCCCTTCATAAGGTATGTTACCCAACTCTCACTAAACCTAACGAAATGATAAAATCCCTTATCGCCATAGATACCTCATCCTTTACAATAATTATCTTAGAGATACTGCAACGCAACTCTTGACCTCCACCTCTAAAAAACATTCGTAGCACACTCCTATGATCATATTTGAGTATAAAAATTAGATTTCCGAAACATTTCCCTAAAATCCCACTCTCTTAACCGAGCTGACGTTTTGAGAAAAGCCAAAAGGCTCAAAAAAGAGACTTCTTGACCGACCCGCAGCCAGAACAGAAGCCTCTCTTCAGTACCCCTTCAAGGTCTCCTAACAATCTAGCCTACTAGTGGCTTAGACAGATCAGTGTTTCTCCAGTTGTTAATTATTCTGTGCAACGATTTCGTGCATTTTTGGACCATCGTGAACTAGCGGGGATCTAGCGGAAACCAACTTCCTATTCTTGGCGCAAAACTTGGGTCATCCATCCTCACCGACACGCAGCAATTACACTCTTCATTTTCAATAAATAGCATAGAGCCAGCAGTAAGATATTTATACTTTCTTTTGTCTAAGTGAACTCTTTCTTTTCATTTTTCTTCTTTTCTTCTCTCTCTTTTCTTTTCCTTTCCTTTTTCTTCCTTTTTTCTATCTTTCTATCTTTTCTATCTTTTTTCTATCTTTTCCCCTTGGCATTCCTCCTTAATTGTGAAATCCGGTGTCAGTGGCTCAATCTTGTCGATTTCAGTCGGACATAACGAACACGGAATTTTGCTCAGACCGCGATTATTTATACATCTATGTATACGTACACTTTATAAAAGCTTGTAAATTTTATTTCATTGTGAACTTCCGCTTAATCATCAATAAAACAAATTATTTGTAATTATAAGCCAATCACGTTTTCCAACTAATTATTCACAATAAAAATTCTCCCTTCCCTCAACTGTCGCTCACGGTAACGCTTCTATCCCAGGTAAAAGGATTCAGTTCGTTGACTTAAATAAAGGATCACCGACGTACGTCCGCGCCAGATAAAGGGATTATTCCGATTCTTGATCTGCACTGCAGACTTGCGAATATGTCGGAGCTTGTGAAAGCAAGCGTCAAGTTACGTTCCTCCTCCAGGATGTAACATATTAATATCATATCATTCATTTCATATTAAATCAGATAGTATGATATAATCGTATCGAGTAGCTTGTGTTTTCGATATGCGTTCTATCGTTTAAGTCAGATTAGATATAAAACGATAGGGACTTATAGCTTCCTTATGTATGTCGAAATCTGCGAAATAATTATTCAATGACCTAAATGCTATATTATATTGCCAACGATAAAGTACGATTATTGTTTCGTTACATATATTTTATTGAAACGCATAACGATACTTTCCAATTAAATTATATTGATTCTTATTAATATCGTATCATTCATTTCATATTAAATCAGATAGTATGATAGGAGCATACAGAGTGGCTTGTGTTTTCAAATATGCATTCTATCGTTTAAGTCACTAGGTATAAAACGATAGAAACTTATAGCTTTCCTATATATGTCGAAATCTGCGAAATAATTATTCAATAACCTAAATGCCATATTATTAGATCATTAAGTATGAAATATCCGATTTTGAATCAAAAGTTTGGTTTATTATATTTCAAACCAGAAATAGTATAATTAATCAAAGTATGCGCCTAAAGTATCGACACAATTCTGCCATCTTAATGGTATCTTATTAATGCCTTCAGCGAAGAAGCCTGAAGAGTGAGTGACGATGAAATCACAGAAGGCATTTTCCACAGCTTGTTGAGAATTGAATATTTTTCCTTTCAAGAGGTACTCCAGTGCCTGGAAGAAGTGGTAGTTAGATGGTACCAGGTCTGGTGAATATGGTGGGTGACACAGAGTTTCCAACAGTTCAGCTGCTGTAGTTTGAGCAGCGTTGTTTGTGCAACATGTGGTCGAGCGTTGTCTTGCAAGAGAATTGGCCTGTCTCTATTGACCAATCTCGGTTGCTTAATCGCAAGCATCCTCATCATTTCGTCTAATTGGTTACAGTAGACATCGACTATAATCGATTGACCAGGTTTCATGAAGCTGTAGAGGATAATATTAGTGCTGGATCACCAAACAGACACCATTAGCTTTCTTTTGTGAATATTCGGTTTCGGACTATATCTCGAAACTTCACCTATATCCAACCATTGTGCCGAACACTTGCGATTGTCGAAAAGAATCCATTTTTCATCATACGTAATAATACGATGTAAAAATCGTTCGTCTTTATGTCGTGATAGTAAAGAAAGGCAAACTTTGACACGATTTCTTTTCTGACGCTTGTTTAATTCATGCGGAATCCATCTATCCAGCTTCTTTACCTTGCCGATTTGTTTCAAGTGATCCAATATTGTTGGAATAGTAACGTTAAACCTTGCTAATTCACGCGTAATTTGAGATGTATCCGCTTCCATTACAGCTTTCAGCTCATCATTATCTACCTTGGTTTTGGGTCGCCCACGTGGCTCATTTTCAAGATTAAAATCGCCAGAACGAAACTTCTCAAACCATCAACGTACTGTGCGCTTATTAGCTATATCTTCACCAAACATTTCGTTAATATTTCGAGTTGTCTGCGCTGCATTAGTTCCACGATGGAACTCATATTCGAAAATAACACGAATTTTTGGCTTATCCATAGTTACACAAAGATTGCTGTAACAAAGACATCTCGAATGATAATCACAAACCAAAACATGTGTGAAAGAGTGATGATGTACCTTCACAAGAAAAAAAACCAAGATCTGTTAAAGTGAAATAGATATCAGAGATATCGACTGTCGAACTCAGTACTTAAGGAAATCGGAAATTTCATATTTAACGACCTAATATATTGCCAACGATAAAGGACGATTATTATTTTGTAACATGTATTTTATTGAAACGCATAACGGTATTTTCTGATTGAATTATATTGGTTCTTATTAATATCGTATCAATCATTTCATATTAAATCAGATAGTACGATAGGTACATATAGAGTGGCTTGTGTTTTCAGATATCGTTCTATCGTTTAAGTCAGATTAGATATAAGATGATAGAAACTTATAGGTTTTCTACATGACATGAAATCTGATGTCCGATAGATATGATAGATTCAGATAAAATCATATAGGATTTCTATCAGTTTTCTATCTTTTTCTATCAATTTTTATCGTTCTTTTTAAGCAGGGTTACTATATTATAATACATATGCTCTATGTTTCTATACCTGTGAAATCGAACTTGGTCTGACTTATGTCTCAAATGTATGCCACAAATGCAACAAAACACCATATTGTTTTATATCTTGTATTATTATTTTTGTCTTTCACTATTTACAGCAAAACTGTTAGATTAAGTATGGCTTTTGCTGTCATAGCCAAGAGTGAGAAAGCAGTAGACGCAAATCAACGTTCTCTCTGTCATAAACTGCCAACTTTGAGCTTCACTCCCTATGTGGTGCGCCCAGAGGAGGGCCTTCTTGGTTACGGCACCGTGCTGGGGGAGGTCCGTCCGATTGGCCTTAGGGCCACAAGGTTTGGCGGCGGCCGCTGGGGGGTGGAATAGGATCCTGCTTGTCTAGGTCTCAGGATCTGGGGCGGGAAACAGGCTTGACTCCCGCTGCGGCCGTAATGCTGAACTGGTCCCCCCCATGGGAGTGGGACCTTGGTGGTAAAGGAGAGCGGGGTAGCCCGGTGCAAGGACGGGTCCCGCTTTCCCCTGCACTAACCTGCGGGTTGGTGGAGACGGGGGAAAAGGTGAATGTCCCCTTTTCCCCATAGTATTAGTTTAATACATGGATGGAGCCCTTCAGACTAATTAGGTTGGAGGGACGAAGAAGTAATGGTAGCCCAGTTCTTTCAGCTCCCCAAAAGATCCTCGTGACGACATTCTGGTGGGGTTTTTAATGGGTGCAACTCCCACATAACTACCCGCTCCCCCTGAAAAGGAGCGGGGTATCCATTAGGGATTTTTCCCACCGTTAACAAAAAAAAACTCTCAGCTTCACTCGCTGCTATTGTAAAAATATACGAATGCTTGGTCTAGGTATATATGTTGTTGGTTGCATGTTATAAATAGATCAGGAAGCAACGACGATATTGACAGAGTTACTTGTTATTCTCATGGCAGCCAACATGTTAAAGTGTGAATAGTCTATTGCTATGTAATGTAACAAAAACGATCACTCTCTGACGAGAATAACATTGAATTTTTGGAATTCTTCAACACGTAACGAGAAAAGTTATTACTGCTAATGAAATTTCGATATTTTTCTTTTGCATACCTCGAACGTCATTCCAGATGCAAGTAGCAACAGGAATCCGAAATAAATTGCATATCGCTTGATTACGCTATGGAAAGGCCACAAGCCGATGACAGCTAGTAGAACGCGAATAATATTATAATATGACTCTTGAAAGAACTTATCGACACTGTACATCTTCCCTCTTGCCTATCACAGTCGCTTTGTGACAGTAAAATCGTGTGATTAGAGTACGTCTCAGCCGTTTATGAAAAATTCTGTTTCAACGTTGACTACCGTGCGCCACGATGTGCACGCTCTCATTGACATTAGGGTTAGAGCTACGGAAACGCACAAAAGAAGTTATTTCGCGATCGATAACGACAATCAGCATCTATTATAGTCCAGACTGGCTCTTGCTTAATTGACGCTGTAAAGTTGCCCAATGGAAATTGTGTGATATGGTACGTTCGCGAACTTTATAAGTCTCCATAAAAAGATTGTTTAAGTTGAAAATTACCTAAAAGATATTGTGCTGTACAAATGCATGGCCCGACGACAGTTTCTTTTTACGCTACTGCATTAGAAAATATAAGTTTCAAGATGACATAGAAAAATATTGTAATCGTACAATTTGATGCAGCACCGCCAATTAAGTCTTTCGGCTTACTGTTTAATTTCGAGAAAATTAAATTTTTATACCTTTGACAGGTTGTCCATATATTATAAAACGTTGTTAAAAGGTTTATGTTATGCGGAAGTTGTAAGCTTATACAAATATTTCTCGATTTTTATCTATCGTGTATCGACATACATTCACATTTGATGTTGAGTTTAATACGAGGGTGGTCCGATAAGTACTTAGCCCACAAAAGAAAAACGAAAATTTTGGAAAAGTGGCGATTTATTTCTCAACATAGTCTCCTTTTAGCTCGATACACTTGACCCAGCGATGCTCCAACTTCTTTAACCCGTCTGAAAAATACGTTTTCTCGAGGTCTGCAAAGTAGGCCTCCGTGGCGGCGATGACCTCCTCATTCGACTCAAATTTCTGCCCGGCGAGTGACTTTTTCAAGTTTGGAAACAAAAAGAAGTCGCACGGGGCCAAATTTGGAGAATACGGTGGATGGGACAGCAATTCGTAGCTCAATTCGACCAATTTGATCGTGGCGAGGGCGGAGGTGTGAGCCGGTGCGTTCTCATGGTGGAAGAGCACTTTTTTCTTCGCCAAATGGGGCCGTTTTTTTTGCAATTCGGCGTCGAATCGGCCCAATAATTCGGCATAGTACAGCCCTGTGACCGTTTTGCCCTGCTCCAGGTAGTCGATGTAGATCACACCTTGTGAATCCCAGGAAACGGTGACCATCACCTTTCCGGCCGATAGGACAGTCTTCGCCTTCTTCAGAGCACGTTCGCCGGGTGAAGTCCACTGTTTCGACTGTTCCTTGGTCTCTGGTGTGTACCAGTGGATCCATGTTTCGTCGACGGTCACGAAACGACGCAGAAACTCCTTCGGATTGCGCTTAAACAGCCTCAAACACTGCTCTGAAGTGGTCTCACGGTTGCGCTTGTTGTCCGGAGTGAGCAAACGCGGCACCCATCGCGCCGACAGCTTTCTCATGCCCAAAATTTCATGCAGGATATGACCCACGCGGTCTTTTGAGATGCCTACTGTCTCAGTTATCTCGCGCACCTTCAATCGGCGGTCTGCCAATACGAGATCGTGGATTTTTGTCATGTTATCCTCCGTGGTAGCCGTTTTCGGGGCACCTGGGCGTGGCTCATCAAAAACCGACGTGCGACCAAGTTGAAACTCGTTAAACCAATTTTTGACGGTCGCCATCGAAGGAGAAGAATCACCGTACACAGCATCCAAGCGCTCTTTGATTTCGCTGCGCGATTTCCCTTCCAAAAACAAGAATCGAATCACCGACCGATATTACTCTTTTTCCATTTTTCTAAAATCCGCGGACACGCCCGCTTCCACACGCGGTCAAAACAAAACTACGAGTCCGATTCGGCTGAAATTTCGACAGTAGCCGTCTACGAGAATGTACTACACGATAGTAAATTTCTCTTGCGATAGTCGAGCGGTAAGGCTAAGTACTAATCGGACCGCCCTCGTATGTTGAGAAATAAATCGCCACTTTTCCAAAATTTTCGTTTTTCTTTTGTGGGCTAAGTACTTATCGGACTACCCTCGTATATGGGGCATTCTTTGCGAAACCGACCACCCTTGCTCGCCAAATTTGGTTTCAACCAAAAAATTTTTACCGGGGCTGAAAATTTTCTTTATGATGTCTACTTTCATTAGCCGTGTGACCTTTTCGGAAATTCTCAATGGCGGATTCAGAATGGCGCCAGCAAACGCGGAAGAAGGGGAAAAAATTAGAATTATTCCTTCTCTCCACGATTGGTTTTACCAAAAAAATGTTTCCGGGATTCTAAATATTCTTTGTGATATAGACATTCATTAGCCGTGTGGCCTTATTGAGAATTCAACATGGCGGATCCAATATGGCGGATGAAACATCAAAACTGAAAATTTTACAGTTGCAAAAATATGATCATATTCTATGTAAAATTTTGAATACAAATGCTCTCTTGCGATTTTTCGATTAAACGCATCGTTGTCGAAAGAAAAATTTATAAACATTGAAATGTTAGTTAAACTTAGAAAAACTGAATTTCAAATGTCGTACCGAAGAGTGTAGAACCCATCAGATAAAAATTGCGGTCGTGATGAGAATATTTTGGAGTGGCTAAATACAAATCCGGGATGAAAGTTACTAAATTCAAAATGTCGAATCCAATATGGCGGATGAATATCGCTTGAAAACATTTAAGCATAAGCTAACCAATTCTATGGGAACGCAGTGATCAAAGTAATGATTGACCAAGAATATTTGGGCAAAGAAGCATTCTAAAACGATTCAGATATTTTATTTCAGCAAAACCGAACACCAAAAAATTAGCAGAAAGTTAATCTGCGTCATTAATCTGCACATATACATATATACACTCAAACGCAAAAGACCCAGTACACTAAAAATTTGAGAAAAAATTACAAAATTTCAAATGATCATAACTTGGTAAATAATGAAGAGAACAAGTATGCGCAGAAATGCAAAATGAAGCTTGAAACTTCCTCTTTAAGAATATCTGAATGGCAATTATGCTCGGCCATTTTTTTCAAAATGGCGGATGATAAAGTGAGAGGATGCAAAATTGATAATCAAAGGTCCGTGTTTGCGATGGTGCATGATGTGCATCAGATATCGCAGCGTAATGGGACCAAATGCACATGAAAGTATAGAGTGTTATCTTTAAAATGCTACTTTACCGAGCTCGATGTGATCATTTTTCACTGAGTTGTTTCAAATTTTGCTAAAAATGCGGTTTTCTTGTTAAATTTGCATAATTCAGTGAATAAGTATCGCATCAAGCTCTATAACGAAGTATTTTAAAGAAAACATTCTATACTTTTAGGTACTTTTCGTCCCATTGAGCTGCGACACTTACTTTGCTCCATGCGCCGTCGCACGCTTGAACCTTTTTTTAGCAACTTTTCATGTTCTCCTTTTTATCACCCGCCATTTTGAAAAAATATCGTTGCGCACAATTTCGATAGATCTTTCGAAAAGTACGGTTTCAAAGCTTTCAAACCGTTTTTGAAATTTGCTGCTAGGATATTTAGATGTCGAGATATTCAATTTCGAATCTGCAACAAATGTCGATTCAGCGAGGCTTAAGGGGCTAAGAGGCTCTGCGGTTCGTTTTGCTCTTTCATAATTTCAATAGCTGTGTTCATGTTTCTCTATATAATAATTTACATAACCAGCACAATATATTCAATGATTTGCATTTATTATTTTGAAAGCCAGGAAAATGAAAGTAAAATTCAATTTAGGTTCTTCATTTTGCGTAATCGATATTACGTAATAAAGATGAATTGCGTTTTAAGATACCGCTGTCATTAGCTCAAATTATGGTTGTAAGTCTTCCCAATATAAACCGCATGGAGTTTTACTGGTAGGAAAAGTCCCATTGTATGTTGTGTGTGTGTGTGTGGTGTTACAGCAGAGATAAGGACCCCGCAGTTCGTCACTCCTGCAGTAATTAATGATTCCAAACCCTCTCTGCTATGTGTGTGGTGTGTGTGTACTAATAGTGGGTATGACTGCCTCGTGCGCGTATTACCTCATTCATACGATCAGGCATACTCCTTATTAGTCTTTTAATTTCATCCTGCGTAATTGTATTCCATTCGTTTTCGAGAATTATTCGCAGTTCTCGCGGTGACTGAGGAGCAGGTACGTGATTTCGTACTTTCCTGCCGAGGTTGTCCCATAAGTGTTCGATTGGATTTAAATCTGGACTATTTGCTGGCCAATCGAGTCGATTTATGCCAACTTCATCGAAGAAATCAAGCACTCTTCTCGCAGTGTGTGGTCGAGCATTGTCTTGCATAAACAAGAAGTTCTCTTCGATGAAGGGTGCGTACGGAACAACATACGGAATGAGTATGTCTTCCACGTATACATCTGCGTTCATATTCTTGTCAAAAAAGTGCAGATCTGAAATGTATGAGCATTAGCTGAAATTCCTGCCCAAATCATTACAGAGCCTCCATTGTAGCTATGCCTCTCACTTACCGTACAGTCTGCAAATCGTTCTCCACCGCGACGATAAACTCGTTCTCGTCCATCTGGAGAATAGACACAAAAACGAGATTCATCGCTAAAGAGTACTTTGCTCCAGTCTGCGTAAGTCCAGTCTCTATGCTCAACTGCAAAATTGAGTCGAGCTACGCGATGGTGACATTTAAGCAAAGGTACAGCTGCTGGCCTGCGCGAAAGCAGATTTTGTTCCTTTAATCTTCTCCGAACGGTGTTAACGGATACATTAATGTTGCGGACATCCCTTAAATTGTTTCTAATTTGAGCAGATGTTCGATGTCTGTCTCTTAACAAATTTGAAACAATAAATCGGTCATCATTGTGATTGGTACATCGAGGACGTCCCGAACCAGGCCTTCTATGGAAAGAATTGGTTTGTAAGTACCTGGCATAAGCACGTTGCACAGTTGACACTGACAAATCAAGTGCCTGAGCAACGTACCTTCGACTTCTGCCATCTTCAATTAAAGCAATAACTTGAGCAGCCTTTTCAGGATTTATCGTCGCCATAATCGACACAATAATTTCGATGCGAAACAATCAATTATGGTTTAAATTGATGAAGTTGCACGAAGCAACGCGCCTCGAAAGGAAAAGACGGAAAAAGGAAAGTCGCACGAGGCAGCGCTTAT